TTTAAATGTCAATTTAAATATTGTCATCATATTATAGTCAATTCACCGCGATGGAATGCAAACGAATTTTTTTTTTAAGCCAATTGTCAATTATTGGATAGCAAGACAAGAACTCTCGCCTCTTTGTACTCTTTGTACCGCGTAATCTGTAATGACTGAGTCTTTTGGCAAACCTGGACTTTTAGTTGAAATTCGTGTCGTTTTTTGTATAATTTCCGGTTGCCAGTTGTCAAGTTTGACAGATTGTTGACATTTTTAATTTGCGAAATGTTTTCAAAACATAACCTAAATTTATCGCATGTTACGATTGACATATCTGTCACACAATTTTTTCCGTTATGCCAAAACAAGCGCAAGAAAAGTTCACATTTTTGTTTAAAAAGTACTGCCAACAGACTCAGTAATGTCTGATCACGCGGTAGAATATATGTTTGTTCATTACCTATTATGTTATTTATTTAGAAATACTGAAGAAAAAGTAAGGAGATCTAAAAAATTTAAAAAATGCAAAACTGAAGAAATCCAATAATCCAAAAAATAAAAAAAATCTAAAAAAAAGCAAAGCCCAAGAAATACAATAATCCAAAAAATCGAAAATATCCAAAAAAAATCAAAAAAACTAGAAAATCCAAAAAGTACAATACATCAAAGAAAGCCAAAACATCTAATAATTCAAAAAATTAAAAAAAAAATGGAAAACCAAACATCCAGTAATCAAAAAAATCTAAAATATCAAAAAAATCAAAGAATTTTAAAAAAATCAAAAATTCTAAATAATTCGAACAATCGACAAAATCAAATAAACCCAAGAATCTCAAGAAATCCAATAATTCCAAAAAATGCAAAACCCTGAAATCCGGTGATCCAAAAAAATCGAAAATATCCAAAAAAGTCAAAGAATTTAACAAATTTTTACTATGTAATAAAGGTTCTCAGAAAACACAAATTTTCTATCATTTTTCAAAGATGCGGAATTTGTTGGATTGTACTTCAAGGACGAAGGAAGTTCTGTCGAAGTAACCTTGGACCAATTTTTTAAGAATGTGAAACCGTTTCGGAGTCCCCAAATGTCTTTTTTTAAGAATGTAGGACCTTGGGGGTCTCAACTGTCCTTTTTTAAAGAAGGCGAAACCTTCTCATGTTTTAAGATTTTTGTTGTCGAAATAAGTCTACGCATACTAAGAAAAAAAGCAAAATATAGCCCCGCCCACCCGCCCTGTCTCAATTGTGATGATTTTTTTTATTCGTCGTGAGCCATAAAGGCGGAGCTTAACTGCAAAATCCTCATTTCTCTACGAGAAATTAAAAACATGTTTTTGAGTATCGTGTTGTTGAAAGAATACTATGTATATTAAGAACAAAATAAAGCCAAAGAGTAGGCCCCACCCATACCCGTGATGAATTTTTCATTCGTTGTCAGATCGAAGGGCGGGGCTTAATTGCAAGATCCATATTTATCTATAAGAATTTACCATTTTAAACATGTTTTTTTTAAGTTTCTTGTTCTGAAAAGACGACTACGTATATTATGGCAAAATACAAAATATAAAAATTACAATTTTTTGAAAAAACTGGATTTGTCGGTCTTTTCCATTGTTTATTTGCTTTGAATACATTTGATATTATCTGTATATCAGCGGACGACACTTTCATGTAATTTGTAGTTATTTACACCACTGGTTTTTACTATGTAATAAAGGTTATCAGAAAACACAAATTTTCTATAATTTTTCAAAGAAGAGGAATTTGTTGGATTGTACTTCAAGGGCGAGGGAAGTTTTGTCGAAGTAACCTTGGACCAATTTTTTAAGAATGTGAAACCGTCTCGGGGTCCTCAAATTTCTTTTTTTAAGAATGTAAAACCTCGGGGGTCCCAACTGTCATTTTTTGAAGAAGGCGAAACCTTCTCATGTTTTAAGTTTTTGGTTGTCGAAATAAGTCTACACATACTAAGAAACAAAGCAAAATGTAGCCCCGCCCACCCGCCCTGTCTCAAATGTGAGGATTTTTTTTATTCGTCGTGAGTCATAAAGGCGGAGCTTAACTGCAAAATCCTCATTTCTCTACGAGATATTAAAAACATGTTTTTGAGTATCGTGTTGTTGAAAGAATACTATGTATATTAAGAACAAAATAAACCCAAAGGGTAGGCCCCACCCATACCCGTGATGAATTCTTCATTCGTTGTCAGATCGAAGGGCGGGGCTTATTGCAAGATCCATATTTATCTACAAGAATTTACCATTTGAAACATGTTTTAAGTTTCTTGTTCTAAAAAGACGACTACGTATATTAAGGCAAAATACAAAATATAAAAATTACAATTTTTTTAAAAATCTGGATCTGTCGGTCTTTTCCATTGTTTAGTTGCTTTGAAAACATCTCATATTGTCTGTATATCAACGGACGACACTTTCATGTAATTTGCATTTACACCACTGGTTTTTACTATGTAATAAAGGTTATCAGAAAACACAAATTTTCTATAATTTTTCAAAGAAGAGGAATTTGTTGGATTGTACTTCAAGGGCGAGGGAACTTTTGTCGAAGTAACCTTGGACCAATTTTTTAAGAATGTGAAACCGTCTCGGGGTCCTCAAATTTCTTTTTTTAAGAATGTAAAACCTCGGGGGTCCCAACTGTCATTTTTTGAAGAAGACGAAACCTTCTCATGTTTTAAGTTTTTGGTTGTCGAAATAAGTCTACACATACTAAGAAACAAAGCAAAATGCAGCCCCGCCCACCCGCCCTGTCTCAAATGTGATGATTTTTTTTATTCGTCGTGAGCCATAAAGGCGGAGCTTAACTGCAAAATCCTCATTTCTCTACGAGCAATTAAAAACATGTTTATGAGTATCGTGTTGTTGAAAGAATACTATGTATATTAAGAACAAAATAAACCCAAAGAGTAGGCCCTACCCATACCCGTGATGAATTTTTCATTCGTTGTCAGATCGAAGGGCGGGGCTTAATTGCAAGATCCATATTTATCTACAAGAATTTACCATTTTAAACATGTTTTAAGTTTCTTGTTCTGAAAAGACGACTATGTATATTAAGGCAAAATACAAAATATAAAAATTACATTTTTTTTAAAAAGCTGGATTTGTCGGTCTTTTCCATTGTTTATTTACTTTCAATACATTTCATATTGTCTGTATATCTGCGGACGACACTTTCATGTACTTTGCATTTACACGACTGGTTTTTACTATGTAATAAAAGTTATCAGAAAACACAAATTTTCTATAATTTTTCAAAGAAGAGGAATTTGTTGGATTGTGCTTCAAGGGCGAGGGAAGTTTTGTCGAAGTAACCTTGGACCAATTTTTTAAGAACGTGAAACCGTGTCGTGGTCCCCAAATATCTTTTTTTAAGAATGTAAAACCTCGGGGGTCACAACTGTCCTTTTTTAAAGAAGTGGAAACCTTCTCATGTTTTAAGATTTTTGTTGTCGAAATAAGTCTACGCATACTAAGAAACAAAGCAAAATGTAGCCCCGCCCACCCGCCCTGTCTCAAATGTGATGATTTTTTAATTCGTCGTGAGCCGAGGGGACGGTGCTGAAAAATCCTTAGTTCTCCACGAGAAATTAAAAACATGTTTTAGAGTATTGTGTTTTTCAAAGAATAGTATGTACACACATATATTAAGAAAAAAATAAAGCCGAAGAGTAGGCCCACCCATACTCGCCCCGATCTTAATTCTCAATTGTGATGAATTTTTTTTCGTTGTCAGATCGAAGGGTGGGGCTTAATTGCAAAATTCATATTTGTATACAAGAATTTACCATTTTAAACATGTTTTACGTTTCTTGCTCGGAAAAGACGACTACGTATATTCAGATCAAATACAAAATATAAGCCCCGCCCACCCACCCTATCTCAATTAAGATGATTTTTTTAATCGCCGAGAGCCAAAGAAGCGGAATTTAAATGCAAAATTCTTATTATTTCTCAACAAAAAATTACCATGTAAAACATGTTTTCAGTATCGTGTTATTCAAAGAATACATTGCATATTAAGAAAAAATTAAAGCCAGACATTAAGCCCCACCCATACCTGCCCTGGTTTCATTCGTTGGCAGACCTAGGGGCGGAGCCTAATTGCAAAATCCAAATTTTTTACAAAAATTTACCATTTTAAACGTGTTTTAAGTTTCTAGGAATAACAAAAATCATCACAATTGAGATGGGGTGGGTGGGTGGGGTTTAAATTTCGACTTTTTTTCTTAATTTATATAGTATTCTTTGAACAACACGATACTTAAAAACATGTTTTTAATTTCTTGTAAAGAAATAAGTATTTTGCAGTTAAGCTCCGTCCCATTGGTTCACGGCGGAAAAAAAATCATCACAATTGAGACAGGGCGGGTGGGCGGGCTTATTTTATTACTTACACAAGATTATTCAAAAAAAGTAATAATAATAAATGAAGCGACATATTTTATTATAGCCCATTCCATCTTCCGTAAATTTTGAGGATACAGTTCTGTCGCAATATAACCTTGGATCTTCCACTAATTTTTTTAACAAGTGTAAGAAAGCAGAAAATCTAATTTAAACTCGACACTGACTGACTTTCCAAAACCAGCTGGATGTAGAATCATCAATTAATCATCCTGTACAATAAAACGAGCAAATGAAAGGGATAAAAATTTCACAGTTTGAGCTCAACACCATTTCCTACCTGCAAATAACTTAATAACTTAACCCCAAAACAAACAGATCAAAGGTACTACGAGATAACGGAATCTCTCGTAAACCATTGATGACATTCGGACATTCCCATCCACGTGGCAACAGCGCACCGGATAAGTGCAACAGTGCAATTCCATACCCTAATCATAAGTTAGCGTAGGTCGGAAAACCAACAAAAAAACATTAACAGGACCCTAATTAGTATTAGCCGCCTGTCAGCAACAAGTGCGAAATGGCCGCCACGGAACCAATCCAGCCTGGCAACCAAACGCCGGAAAATTCCCAGTGAGTATAATCAGATTGATTATTTGTGTTAATTTAAGAACTTTTAAATGTTATCGCTTGTAGTAGTATTTTTTATTTATTAGTACAGAACGAGCGAAGTGATTAATTAATCTGTGACGTTTGATGACGACGAGCGTTATCACAACATGTTTTGACGAACTCGTTAGTAATGAGTGATAAAAATTAACATTTCTTCATGTGATAAGGCACAATCGCACACACCCTTTTTTCAAAAACTAAAAATGTATTTTTGGGAAAGCACATGGATTTTTGACAGTTCAATGACATGTGGCCACCTAACCTAACATAACCTAAAAAAAAATAATGAAGATTTCGTTCTTTTCACTAATTGTAGTAATCACAATGGTTTGTCATAAATAAACACAATGAAAATAATCGCTTAACGCATTTTTTTTAATTGCAGACAGAGTAAAATTGCAATTAAAGTCATGCATTCTCAGTCTGTGTTAAGTCAATCAAATTTTTTCGTGAGTTTTATTCGTTTCGTGTGTTAAATCTAGTCAATTTTAGTTATGATGAGGAATAGCCGGACCTTGTTAAAATACACCAGTCGAACGCTGAACCTTTGGAGTCTTTCAAATCCTCAAAAACTCTTCCAGAGGTAATTGCTCTCGTTGCTGTTAAAATCTGGAGGTGTGCTTACGTCAGTTTCCTTATTATTTTCGACTTATCACAACCAATTAAGAAATCACCAGTGAAGAAATTATTTTTGATAACACTCAATTCTCAGCTGGGTTAGTCTCGTGACGGCTGATGTAATTCCATGGGGGGTACTCTTATCATGTTTTGAACAGTCTTGTGAAATTTATTTTTAACACGGAATCCTCAATTCCTCCTATATAAGCCAAGACGACAGCCTTGACTCACTAGTAATACGTTAAGTCCCATTTAAGCTAACTTAGTGAAAATTCAAAGCATAGAAAATGCGTTGGATGTACGTAACTAGAACCTTAGTAAGCCCCCATTGTTCTACTTATCGTTGTTTTTTGCAGCACTGAAGCCCAACTCATCAGTGGCACCAAAATCGCCGCCGACTACCGCAACGAACTCCGCGTGGACGTCGAACAATGGGTCAAAGCCGGCCACCGCCGCCCCCACCTGGTGGCCATCCTCGTCGGCGAAGACCCCGCCAGCCAAAAGTACGTCCACAACAAAATGCTGGCGGCGAAGGACGTCGGCATCGACAGCGAGACCCTCAAGCTCCCCGCCACCGCCTCCGAGAAAGAAATCCTCGCCAAAATCGACGAACTCAATAAGAACCCCAACGTGGACGGCATCCTCGTCCAACTACCGGTGCCCCAGCACGTCAACGAGCGCAACGTGTGCAACGCCGTTGACCCCCGCAAGGACGTGGACGGCTTCCACATCATCAACGTGGGCAAGATGACCCTCAACATGGACACGTTCGTCCCGGCGACGGCGCTGGGGGTGATCGAGCTGCTCAAGCGCATGAACGTCGACACCAAGGGCAAGAACGTGGTGATTTGCGGCAGGTCGAAGAACGTGGGGCTGCCGATGGCGATGCTGCTGCACTCGGACCACCGGAACGAGCTGCCGGGCATGGAGGCCACGGTGGTGCTGTGCCACCGGCACACGCCGCCGGAGGAGCTGGCGTACTTCGCGAAGAGGGCGGATATTATTATTAGCGCCACGGGGGTGGTGGGGTTGATCAAGCCGGAGATTGTGAAGCCGGGGGCGGTGGTGATTGATGTGGGGATTAATAGGATCACGACGAAGGAAGGGAAGACGAAGCTTGTGGGGGATGTGGATTTTGAGGGGGTGAGGAAGGTGGCTGGGTTTATTACGCCGGTGCCTGGGGGTGTGGGGCCCATGACGGTGGCGATGTTGATGCATAATACGTATAAGGCGGCGGTGCAGCTGGCGAAGCAAGAGATATACTCGTAGGGGGATTTTTAAGTATTATTGTATTTTTACGAGGGCTTAGGCAGTATTAGTAATAATTTGACTATTTATATTTTTAATAAAAATTGTTTTGTTTATTATTTTGTGTTTTTAAACCACACTGCTAATTGAGAATTAGAATTTACCCAAGATTATTATGAAGGTCGAACTTCCAAATTGGTTTTTGTGCTACATAATTGGTTGCCTATCTATCAGGCAGCAACATCAGCACATTGAAATCTCCGAAACTACCGGACCGATTGATACAATACTAACTAAGATAAAACTATTATCTATTCACTAAACATAAATGGTATACTATCCTCAAACATATTTGGCGTTTATGACTTCACACCAATTTGACTCCCATTATAATTCAATAGGCCGTCACAACCGGATGTCTTAAACCCGCTCACCGATACCTACCTGAAAAGACCTTTTCGACGTGCCAGGGACGGTCGAGACGCGAAGGACCGGACTCAGAGTAATTTTGTTTGTTAAAATTTTCAAATTTCAAAATTTCCTTACAGAACATGATTTATACTTTGAAGAAAATTACACAAAGACACAATTATTAGAAGTGTTACACACTCGAAAATTTGAGAAACAATATAAAATAGATGCTATGGCGCGAGATCGTGGATTTAGGGTGATTAGACTTCCGCCGTACCATTGTATATTTAACCCCATCGAACTAATCTGGTCGCAAATGAAAAATAATATAAGAAGGAATAATACGGCACCAAAATTTAGTAGTGCAACAATTGACATAATTAGGGAAGAAGCTTCCAAAATAACTGCTGAAATGTGGGCCAATTGTGTACGACATTCCACAAAAGAAGAAGACCAGTACAGGGCCCGGTTGATAACACCGTTAATTATTAATTTAGAAGAGCCGAGTGATGATGACAGTGACTATTTCGATCAATAAATAAGCAGTAGTAGTTAATAAGTAAATAGTTGTGCTGTAATAAAAAATGCTTGAGTACAAAGTTACTTTGTTTTTACTTAAAATAAAAAACTCGAAAGGCGCAGTTGTCGGTAAATGCAAAACTCAGTCCTGCCCTGTGCTTTTACCAGAAAAGGTCTTTTCAGGTAGGTATCGGTGAGCGGGTTTAAGACATCCAGTTGTGACGGCCTATTGAATTATAATGGGAGTCAAATTGGTGTGAAGTCATAAACGCCAAATATGTTTGAGGATAGTATATTAATAATAATAACAGAAAGTTAATATAATAAAAAAAATTCCCTATATTTTTTTTTTAAAGAAATATTAACGTTGGCGCGTTGGCGGCACTGACAACATTCTTTAAACAAACAACTAGGTCACTTAGATGTCAATTTAAATATTGTCATATTATTGTCAATTCACCGCGATGGAATGCAAACGAATTTTTTTTTTTTGTAAGCTAATTGTCAATTACTCAATTATTGGCTAGCAAGACAAGAACTCTCGCCTATTTGTACTCGTTGTACCGCATATCAGAAATGACTGAGTCTGTTGGCAATCCTGGACTTTTAGTTAAAATTGGTGTCATGATGTTTTGTATAATTTCCGGTCGCCAGTTGTTAAGTTTGACAGATTGGTGGCATTTTTAATTTGCAAAATGTTTTCAAAACATAAACTAAAAATGCAAAACTCAAGAAACCCAATAATCCAAAAACTCGAAAATATAAAAAAAAATCAAAAAACCTAGAGAATCCAAAAAGTACAATACACCCAAGAAAGCCAAGACATACGATAATTCAAAAAATTAAAAAAAAATGCAAAACCAAAGAAATCCAATAATCAAAAAAATCTAAAATATCCAAAAAATTAAAGAATTAAAAAAAAATCAAAAATTCTAAATAATTCGAACAATTCACAAAATCCAAGAATCTCAAGAAATCTAATAATTCCAAAAACCCAAAAAATGCAAAACCCAGAAATCCAAAAAATAGAAAATATTCAAAAAAATCAAAGAATTTAACAAATTTAAAGACACTAAAAAATCCAAACAATTAACAAGATTCAATAAATCCAAGAAGCTCAAAAGATTCAATAATCCAAAAAACCGAAATTATCCAAAAAATAAAGAATTTAAAAAATTCAAAAAACTAACAAATCCAAAAAACCTTGGTGACTCAAAAAATCTAATAATTATAAAAATTGAAAAAATATAAAACGCAAGAAATCAAATAATCCAAAAAATCGATAATATCCAAAAAATCAAAGATTTTGAAAAATTCAAAAAAACTAAAAAATCCAAAAAATCCACAGTATCCAATAAATCCAAAAAATCTAAAAAAAAATGCAAAACCCAAGAAATCCAATAATTCAAAAAATCGAAAATATCCAACAGGAATCAAACAAAAAATTAAAAATCGAAAATATCCAAAAAAATCAAAGAATTTAAAAAACCAAAAAACCTACTCCTAAAAAATTGAAATAATCCATAAAGTCTAATAAATTCAAGAAACTCAAGAAAGCAAATGATTTCAAAAATCACAATAATCCAAAAAATGTAAAGTCCAAGAAATCCAGTAATCCAAAAAATCGAAAATATCCAAAAAGAATCAAAGAATTTAAAAAATTCAAAAAACTAAAAAAAAATCCACAAAATCCAATCAACTCAAAAGCCAAGAAATCCAAACATTCCGAAAATAAAAAAAAAATGCTAAACATAAAAATCTATACAATAATAAAAAAAATGGAAAATATCCAAAAATCAAAGAATTTAAAAAAATCGAAAAATCTAAAAACTTCAAATAATCCAGAAAATCCAATAAACTCAAGAAACTCAAGAAATCCAATAATTCCAAAAATCCAAAAAAATGCAAAACCCAAGATATCAAATAATCCAAAAAATCGAAAAAATTAAAAAAAACAAAGAATTTAAAAGGTTCAAAAAAATCTAAAAATCCAAGCAATCCACAAAATCCAAGAAACTCAAGAGAAATTCCAAAAATCCAAAAAAATACAAAACACAAGAGTTTCAATAATGCAAAACATCGGAAATATAAAAAAAAAATTTAAGAATTTAAAAGAATAAAAAAAAAATCGAAGACTCAAAAATGTAATACACAAATTCCAATAAACCCAAGGCACTCAAGAAATTCAATAATTCGGAAAATCTAAAAAAAAATGCTAAACCTAAGAAATCTATCCACTAATCAAAAAAATCGAAAATATTCAAAAAATCCAAAAAAATCTAAAAAAAAATGCAAAACCCAATAAATCCAATAATCCAAAAAATCGAAAATATCCAAAAAGAATCAAACAAAAAATTAAAAATCGAAAATATCCAAAAAAATCAAAGAATTTAAAAAACCAAAAACACTAAAAAATTGAAACAATCCACAAAATCTAATAATTCCGAAAATCTAAAAAAAATTGCTAAACCTAAAAAATCTATCCACTAAATATCCAAAAAAATCAAAGAATTTAAAAAACCAAAAACACTAAAAAATTGAAACAATCCACAAAATCTAATAAACTCAAGAATCTCAAGAAATCCAATAATTCCAAAAAATCTAAAAGAATGCAAAACCCAAGAAATCCAGTAATCCAAAAAATCGAAAATATCCAAAAACAATGAAAGAAAAAATTAAAAATGGAAAATATCAAAGAAAATAAAAAACAAAAAATCTAAAAAATTGAAATAACCTACAAATTCTAATAAATTCAAGAAACTCAAGAAATCAAATGATTTCAAAAAATCCCAATAATCCAAAAAATGTAAAGCCCAAAAAATCCAATAATCCAAAAAATCGAAAATATCCAACAGGAATCAAACAAAAAATTAAAAATCGAAAATATCCAAAAAAATCAAAGAATTTAAAAAACCAAAAAACCTACTCCTAAAAAATTGAAATAATCCATAAAGTCTAATAAATTCAAGAAACTCAAGAAAGCAAATGATTTCAAAAAATCACAATAATCCAAAAAATGTAAAGTCCAAGAAATCCAGTAATCCAAAAAATCGAAAATATCCAAAAAGAATCAAAGAATTTAAAAAATTCAAAAAACTAAAAAAAAATCCACAAAATCCAATAAACTCAAAAGCCAAGAAATCCAAACATTCCGAAAATGAAAAAAAAAGCTAAACATAAAAATCTATACAATAATAAAAAAAATGGAAAATATCCAAAAATCAAAGAATTTAAAAAAATCGAAAAATCTAAAAACTTCAAATAATCCAGAAAATCCAATAAACCCAAGAAACTCAAGAAATCCAATAATTCCAAAAATCCAAAAAAATGCAAAACCCAAGATATCCAATAATCCAAAAAATTAAAAAAATCAAAGAATTTAAAAGGTTCAAAAAAATCTAAAAATCCAAGCAATCCACAAAATCCAAGAAACTCAAGAAAAATTCCAAAAATCCAAAAAAATACAAAACACAAGAGTTTCAATAATGCAAAACATCGGAAATATAAAAAAAAATCTAAGAATTTAAAAAAATAAAAAAAATCGAAGATTCAAATATGTAATACACAAATTCCAATAAACCCAAGGCATTCAAGAAATTCAATAATTCGGAAAATCTAAAAAAAAAATGCTAAACCTAAGAAATCTATCCACTAATCAAAAAAATCGAAAATATTCAAAAAATCCAAAAAATCTAAAAAAAAATGCAAAACCCAAGAAATCCAATAATCCAAAAAATCGAAAATATCCAAAAAGAATCAAATAAAAAATTAAAAATCGAAAATATCCAAAAAAATCAAAGAATTTAAAAAACCAAAAACACTAAAAAATTGAAACAATCCACAAAATCTAATAAACTCAAGAATCTCAAGAAATCCAATAATTCCAAAAAATTTAAAAGAATGCAAAACCCAAGAAATCCAGTAATCCAAAAAATCGAAAATATCCAAAAACAATGAAAGAAAAAATTAAAAATGGAAAATATCAAAGAAAATAAAAAACAAAAAAATCTAAAAAATTGAAATAACCTACAAATTCAAGAAACTCAAGAAATCAAATGATTTCAAAAAATCCCAATAATCCAAAAAATGTAAAGCCCAAGAAATCCAATAATCCAAAAAATCGAAAATATCCAAAAAACAAAGAATTTAAAAATTCAAAAAATCTAAAAAAACAAAAAATCCACAAAATCCAATAAAACCAAGACCTAAGAAATCCAATAATTCCGAAAATCAAAAAAAATCAAAGAATTAAAAAAAAAAACAAAAAATTCAAATAATCCAGAAAATCCAATAAACCTAAGAGACTCATGAAATCCAATAATTCCAAAAATCCAAAAAATGCAAAACCCAAATTATCCAATAATATATAAATTGTAAATGTCCAAAAAATCAAAGAATTTAAAAAGTTCAAAAAATCTAAAAATCCAAGCAATCCACAAAATCCAAGAAACTGAAGAAAAAATTCCAAAAATCCAAAAAAATGCAAACCACAAAAGCTTCAATAATGCAAAACATCGAAAATATTTAAAGAAAAATCTAATAAATTAAAAAAATAAAAAAACTCTAAAAGACTCAAATATGTAATACACAAACTCCAATAAACCCAAGACACTCAAGAAATCCAATAGTTCCGAAAATCTAAAAAAATGCGAAACCAAAGAAATCTATCTAATAATCAAAAACATCGAAAATATCCAAAAATTCAAAAAATCTAAAAAATTCAAGCAATCCACAAAATCCAGTAAACCCAAGAAACTCAAGAAAAAGTTCCAAAAATCCAAAAAAATGCAAAACTCAAAAACTTCAATAACCCAAAACATCGAAAATATCCAAAAACTTCAAAAACATCCAAAAAATCAAATAAACTCAAGAATTTAAATAATTCCAAAATCGAAAAAGAAAAAATGCAAAAAATTAAAAAAATGAAAAACCAAAGAAATCTAAAAATTCTAAACAATCCACAAAATCGAAAATTTCCAAAAAAATCTAATCACATCACTATTTTTGGATTTTTGGAATTACTGGATTTCTTGAGTTTTTTGAGTATATTAGATTTTGTAGATTGTTTCAATTTTTAAAATTTTTGATTTTTTTAAAATCTAAAAAATCAAAAACATAAATCCTATTTAAAGTTCTACATTTGTGGCTAGCCGTACATTAATTTTTTTTACGGTTAATTCGTTCTTTGAATCCGACAAAATAAATTAGTTCTTCTGAATTAAATGCAACCAATAACAGAATGTGCAAAGACGACTTTCTTTTGTAAATATTAAAAACTAAACGGTAGTAGAGAAAATTTTATATGTACCACGGGAATTATTTGAAGTTTATACTCTTTTCGTCACTCATGAACTAACACATTCCACTCGTAAATAAAGACTATTTTTGACATTGAGGATAAGGTGACACTGAATGGGACATGACCAACAAATCTTTTAAACTTCAAACCTCAAAAATTCAAAACTAAGTATGTAATAAAAAGCGGTGATCTGCACGTGATCAGTTCTAAGTGACCAATTGGCCAATCCAGTTGGAGTTCGGTTTGTTCAAAAACCCGATTCACACTACTCCAAGGTTGAACACTTCTGTTTGAAAAAGTACGGCCTTGTTTTTAAAAGTCCTGCAAGATCGCAATTTCTGACAAAATATGGCATCATAGCTTTAGTGGTAACCAAAGTACATATATTATAAAATTTCTTAATAAAGTACCCGAGTTCCTGTGTGATGTGCCGCCACTGTCAATCCGTCTTATCTAGATGACCTCTAACCTCAAAATCTACAAAATAGCATATTTCTAAAATAGTAAAATTCCTCATTATGCACTTGCGTTCTCTAAAATGTGCACTTACAAACACAAATTTCATTAGATTTTCGCTCTCTTTCGGCCCCCCCTCACCCGTCTCAATACCCATTCGATCAATACAACACCTAAGTAAGTGCAATTTTTTTTCAACAAAACCTGCAGAAATGGCAAAACCGTCTGTCTACGTAACAAGAGAAATCAATAAAGAAGCCCTCGCTGTTTTAGCCGACACGTAAGTCGCTTTTTTCTCAAAAAAAAACTCTCTCCTAACCTCAAAAATCATCACTCTGACAGCTGCGAGGTCACATTCTGGCCAGGACCGGACCCAGTCCCACGCTCCGAGCTCCTCAAGAACATCGCCCACAAAGACGCCCTCTTGTGCATGCTCACCGACAAAATAGACGCAGAAGTGCTACAATGCGCAGAACAACTAAAAGTCATCGCAACCATGTCAGTGGGCTACGACCACCTAGACTTAAAAGAAATAAAAAAGCACGAAATCAAAGTGGGCTACACCCCCGGTATCCTAACTCACGCCACCGCCGAACTCACCGTCGCTCTTCTTTTAGCGACGAGCCGCCGCCTCTTCGAAGCCAACGCTGCGGCCAGAAATGGCGGCTGGCAGGCTTGGTCGCCATTTTGGATGACCGGGCCGGGGCTGGAAGGAGCCACGGTCGGGATAGCGGGCTTTGGACGCATCGGACAAGAAGTGGCCAAACGACTCATACCCTTCCAAATTAAAAAACTCATTTATTTTAATAGGTCTCAGAAACCGGAAGCTGAGTCCACGATGGGGGCGGTCAGAGTTACGTTCGACGAGTTATTGCAACAAAGCGACTTTTTGGTGGTTTGTTGCGCCCTAACGTCTGACACTGTGGGGATGTTTGATAAAGCGGCGTTCCACAAGATGAAGAAAACGGCAATTTTTGTTAATACGAGTAGAGGGGGGCTGGTGGACCAGGATGAGTTGGTTAAGGCGCTGCAGGAGGAGCGGATTGCGGGGGCGGGGCTTGATGTTATGACCCCGGAACCGCTGCCACTGGACCATCCGCTTTTTAAATTGAAGAATTGTGTTATTATGCCGCATATTGCGAGTGCGGCGGTACAGACGAGGGCGGGGATGGCGATGCTCAGTGTGGAGAATATTGTAGCGGGGTTGAAGGGGGAAAAGATGCCTAGTGAACTTACACTGGATTAATAAATTTGAATAGATAAAATAAGTTTGTTCTTGTTGTTAATTGTTGTTTAGTACGGCTCTGTCTCAAAGTCAATGACAGATAAAGCCACCATTGCTACCAACATAAACAACCTAACCTAAAAGTTGACTTTACAATAATGTTTAAGTGCTAAATTATCGTCATGGCACGAACTATTTTCAAAATTTTCACATTATTGTCAATTTGTAAGTGACCCCCTTGTTGGAAAAGCGCTAATTTGTTATTCCAGGCGCACTCACCCCTTTGACGTTTTGTGACGACTCCGAAGCCCCTCAAGACCCAGAATCTGAAACAGAAAAAGCAGAACTGAGCATCGACGATCCTTCACATAATCTCACGTCGTTCACTAATTCCACAATCGAGACTAATGCAGCAAATTCGACCACCGTCAACACTACTGAAACGACGAATGTCACCCACAAAATCGTTCAGTGTTTACCAGACTATGGAACTTCTGAAGTTCAACTAGTCAATGACACTGAACTCATCAAACTTCTTTTGATTCAGACCAACATCACCAGCCGCGATATCCCCGCTAATTGTGTCCTGGTGCTATTTTACTCGAAATATTGTCCTTTTTCCAGCATGGCAGCCCCCCATTTCAACGCACTCCCGCGGGCCTTCCCTGATGTTAAAATGGTTGCTATAAATGCCATGGTTTACCATTTGTTTAACACCCAGAATGGTATTGTGGGTGTTCCTACTTTGATGCTTTTCCATAATGGCAGACCCATGGCTAAGTTTAATGAGTCTGAGTATACTTTGGAGTTGTTTTCCAAGTTTGTGACGAAGCATACGGGGATCCCGGCAGCTGAAAAGTCGACTGTTACGTCGGCTGATTTCAGCGGACCTGTTACTAGTGTTCCGGCGAAAGATATAGACGTGTTTTTGATTATATCGTGGATTTTTATCATATTGTGTAGTTCGTATTATTTTAGTAAGTCTAAGTTTTGGAGGTGGTTTGTGGAGACAGTTCAGATTAATTGGAGGGAATCAGAAGCTCATGCCCAGCACGAACACGCGGAGTGAGGGGGATTTTGCGAAAATTATTTATTTAAAAGTTGTTATATTTGTTTATTCTGTATAAATAAATTTTCAAAGAAATGCACTCTGGGATTTTTTCGTATCTAGATGGCGGTAATGTAGTTACAGAAATCTGTAATCTCTAAGTGTAATGTTGGTTGCATATTTTAATTATCCAATTAAAAACAGTGTTTCTCTGTAAACAAGAACTTCATGAATTGAGATCTTTAACACACAAAAAAAAATATATATGTTAATAGTCATCTTATTCGTGGCGCCCTCTTTCGGTTTAGTAGTTAAGACATCGAAATGCCAACAATGTTAACACATTTGTACTGAATACCCTGTAAACTTTCCAAATTCACCCCTTCTATTCATCAGGGGTTCATTTTATCCCACTAATTCAAACTTAAACAAAGTCACTTAAATGAACAAACTTGGAGATGGGTGCTTCAGAGAGCAGTTTTTATTTCAACGGCAAATTTATGTTTATTATCAGTCTTTGTGGAGTACACTCAGCTGCAACTATGCTAACGTTGCTACTAAAGCTTGCTTAATGAAATTATGCAAGAAGCTATTTCAGTAACTGGATGTTGAAACACTGGGTGGTTAGAATTATAAATGTTTGTGGGGTGGATTAGAAAATTAAAAGTTGGAAACATTCAAGGTTTTTTCATTATAAAAAGTGAATTTTTAGTCTTACACATTTTAGACTAGAAAATCATTAATAAATTGGTCTTACATTAATTAAAATTGTTGGGCAAAATTTAAAAATTGAGGGTTGCCTATGTTATTGAATTATTTTTCTTTTTTTTTTTTTATTTTTTCGCGTTTTTTTTTTCTCTCAACGTATATCTTCCTATGTTTTTTTTCCGTCACTTTTAATTCAACTAAACTTCTGTCGATTAAACAGGTAAGTGGAAAAGCGGGATTTATTCTATTAAGCGGCTTACATGTAAGCGGCTTAAACTGGTACGACATAAACGTAGGTATTAAAAAAGATAGGTGAAAATAAAATGACAAGAACTATAAGTTTAGATAGCGTTGGAGCTGAATTAATGGCGAATACAATGGGATTTATAGTGAGGTATAAAACTAAATTTTCTAAATAATTTCGGATGCTTCCACGGTCGGAATCAATACATGATCGTTTTCCGGATTCGAACCGTGTTAATTGGCTCAGGTTTTTTCCAATTCAGACATTTTTTTCATTTTTTTGTTTCCTCAGTTTTTCAAGTACTTGATTGTTATTTTTCATTTCCCTGATTCTTTAATTTTCATTTTCTCGATTTATATCACAATTTTTTGTTTTTTAATTTCCTTTATTTTTTTTTAAGTTTCTTCCCATTTTATAATACGTATTTCGTTTACTTAATTTTTCAAATTTTTAATCTTTGATTTTTGAATTCCTCGGTTTTCCAATTTTTTAATTTTTGGATTTCACTTATTTGATTTTCCGATTTCTATAATTTTAAACATTTCAATTTTACATATATGTATTATATTTCGATTTTTCGTTTTTTTGAAAGTTTTCATTTTATACTTTTTCGTTTTTTCATTTTTGATTTTTCAATTTTACAATTTCACAATTTTAATTGAAAATCGAAAAACTAAAAAAAGCGAAATATTGCAAAATCGAAGCTATGGAAAATCGGGAAATTGAGAAGCGAAAAACTGAAGAACTGAAGAAAGGAAACTAAAAATCGAGAAACTTAGAAATAGAAAAAAAGTAATGAAATCCAAAAATTGGAAAGAAAAAAAGCAGTCGAATCGAAAAATTGGAAAAATCAAAAACTGTAAAATCTAAAAATTATACAATCGTCGAAATTGCAAAATCGAAAAACACAATTCAGTTTCTCGATTTTTCAATTTTAAAATTTTTCTATTTTGTAATTTTTGAATTTCAATTATCCGATTTTCCGATTTCTTTAATTTCCAATATTTTGATTTTACAATACGTATTTCATTTTTTCGATTGCATTTTTTCGAATTTTAACCTCCTCAATTTTTAATCTTTCGATTTTTGAATATTTTTTTTCAATTTTTCAAGTTTTTAATTTTCGATTTTTAGTAATCGAATCGAAAAATTGGAAAACTCAAAATCTGTAAAATCGAAAAATTGTAGAATCGTCAAAATTGCAAATTCGAAAAACTACAACACTGAAAGATCCAAACACTGAAAAATCAAATATAGAACAACAGAAAAATTAAAATCGGAAAATGAAAAATTGAAAAATCTAAAACTGAGAAAACAAAAAATTAAAAAACCTAAAACTGACAAATCGAAAAAATTGATAAAATCCAAAAATTAAAATTTCCCATTGAAAAAAGAAAAATTACAAAATGAGAACATTGAAAAATCGAAAAATTGAAAACAGAAAATGAAAAACACACAGAAAAATTGTAGAAATGAAAAATGAGGAAATGAAAAATTGAATAATCGAAAAATTGCAAAGGAAAGAACTGAAGAAACAAAAAATTGAAGCACTGATAAACTAAAAATCCAGAAACTTAAATATCGAAAAAAAAAGAAATCCAAAAATTGGAAAGAAAAAAGCAATCGAATCGAAAAATTCGAAAACTCAAAAAGCAACTGAAAAATTAAAGATCGGAAAATGAAAAATTGAAAAATCTAAAACTGAGAAAACAAAAAATTAAAATATCCAAAACTGAAAAATCGAAAAATTGATGAAACCGAAAAACTGCAACTCGAAAAATTGCAAAATTCAAAAATTGAAAAATTTCTCACTGAAAAAAGAAAAATTACAAAATAAGTTAAAAAAATAGAAAATAAGAAACACAAAGAAAAATTGCAAATTGAAAAATTGAAGAAATGAAAAATTGAAAACTCCTGAAATTGAAACATCCGAAAGTTGGAAAATCTGAAAACTGACAATTTTAAAATGAAAATTTGGAGAGATGCATGTCGTAAAACTGAAGAAAAAAACGAAAAATTGAAAAATTGCAAATCGAAATATAGAAGAAACAAAAAATGATAAAATCGGGACCTTGAAAAATTGAAAAGTTGTAACATAAAACAAAAAAAAAAATTAAACGAAAAATTGCAAGTCAAACATTTGAAGAACTGAAGAAATGAAAAATTGAAAAGTCGAATAAAGGAAAAAGTTTTAAAATCCAATAATTAAAAAATGGAAAAGTTCTAATATCGCAAAAACAAGAAATATTTAAAATGAAGACTAGAACAATTACCAATCAAAAATTGAAGAAACAAAAATTGAAAAATCGAAAAATTGAAAAATCTAAACCTGAAAATAAAAAAAAGTAAAGAATCTAAAACTTAAAAATCGAAAATTGAAACAATGAAAAACTAAAAATAGAGAAACTTAAAAACAGAAAAAAAATTGTAAAATCGAAAAATTATAGAGTCGTCCAAATTGTAAAGTCGAAAAATTACTACACTGAAACATCGATATCACAATTTTTCGTTTTTTCACTTCTTTTATTTTTTCAATATTCCCTTCGATTTTATAATTGTTCGTTTATTCCGATTTCTTTATTTTCCAATATTTTGATTTTACAACATGTGTTTCGTTTTTTCGATTGCACTTTTTCGAATTTTAACCTCCTCAATTTTTAATCTTTTGATTTTTGAATTTTTGTTTTTTCAATTTTTCAAGTTCTTAATTTCCGGTTTTTAGATTTTTTGAAAGTTTTCATTTTAAATTTTTTCGTTTTTCAATTTTTGATTTTTCAATATTACAATTTTTCTATTTCAAAAAACAAAAATAAAAAACAGAAAAATTGAAGAAATGAAAAATGAGGAAATGAAAAATTGAATAATCGAAAAATTGAAAAGGAAAGAACTGAAGAAACAAAAAATTGAAACACTGATAAACTAAAAATCGAGAAACTTAAATATCGAAAAAAAAAAGAAATGCAAAAATTGGAAAGAAAAAGCAATCGAATCGAAAAATTGGAAAACTCAAAAACTGTAAAATCGAAAAATTATAGAATCGTCAAAATTGCAAAGCCGAAAAACTGCAACACTGAAAGATCGAAAAATTGAAAAATGAAATGTGGAGCAACTGAAAGATTAAAAATATCTAAAACTGAGAAAACAAAAAATTAAAAAACTTTAAACTGAAAAATTGAAAAATTGATAAAATCGAAAAACTGCAACGCGAAAAATAGGAAAATCCAACAATTGAAAATTTTCTCATTGAAAAAAGAAAAATTACAAAATGAAAACATTGACAAATAGAAAAATTGTAAAAACAAAAGATAAAAAACACAAAGAAAAATTGCAAATTGAAAAACTGAATCATCGAAAAATTGAAAATGGAAGAAGTGAAGAAACAAAAAATTGAAACACTGATAAACTAAAAATCGAGAAAGTTAAATATCGAAAAAAAGAAATCCAAAAATTGGAAAGAAAAAAGCAATCGAATGGAAAAATGGAAAACCCAAAAACTGTAAAATCGAAAAATTATAGAATTGTCAAAATTGCAAAGTCGAAAAACTACAACACTGTAAGATCGGAAAATTGAAAAATCAGGTATCGAGCAACGGAAAAATTAAAAATCGGACAATGAAAAATTGAAAAATCTAAAACTGAGAAAACAAAAAATTAAAAAACTGAAACATCGAAAAATTGATAAAACCGAAAAACTGCAACTCGAAAAATTGCAAAATTCAAAAATTGAAAAATTTCTTATTGAAAAAAAAATTACAAAATAAAAACATTGAAAAATCGAAAAATTGAAAAAACAGAAAATAACAAACACAAAGAAAAATTGCAAATTGAAAAATTGCAAATTGAAAAATTGAAGAAATGAAAAATTGAAAAATCGAAAAATTAAAAACTCTTGAAACTGAAAGATCTGAAAGTTGGAAAATCGGAAAACTGACAATTTTAAAATGAAAGTTTGGACAAATGCATATCGTGAAATTGAAGAAAAAAATGAAAAATTGAAAAATTTCATATCGGAAAATAGAAGAAACGAAAAATGATAAAATTGGGACATTGAAAAATTGAAAAGTTGTAACATAAAACAAAAACAAAAAACGAAAAATTGAAAGTCAAATATTTGAAGAACTGAAGAATCGAAAAATTGAAGAAT